CATGCCACTATTCATTCCACAAAATTCTCCATCATCATAATCACCCGGGGCAGGCTACAATAGGCCAACCAGTGGCCGCCGTTCCGATTGGACGCAGTTGGACTCCAACCCCCACTAAGAAAATAATAAAAAAAAGTCTATGGTTCGAGACGTAAGTAGTGTAATTATACTCTCTTACTATCTTTTTTTTTTCTTTTGGCGCTACAGCCCCAATTTGGGCCTTGGCCTACCTCCATGAAACTCTCCGTTTCACTTCTGTTTACTAGATCTTAGATATTCGGTAGGACTACTTGGCTCGTCGCTAGGCCTCTACCTGTACAGAAATACAGAAAACTCACATACACACACAAACACCAAACATCCATGCCCTGAGTGAGATTCGAACCCACGATCCCGGCTTCCGAGCGAGGGAAGACAGTGCATACCTTATACCACTCGGCTACCGTGACCGGCTCTCTTATTATCTGCACTCAATTAATTAAACACCACGTCATGAGGATGTGAGCAGCTTCACGCTCCGGTCGCTTCAACCCCAGGAACAGAGCCCACTGCCTCCATTGGATAGAAAAATGAAATTTTGTTATGTACGCAGATTGAATTCAGTGCAGGCCAGTATTTTACGTAAATCCCATTTGTAAGATAGCCCTAGCTTGTGATTGAAGTCGGTACTTCGTGCAAGCTGAGGACGTATGCACAGTTGTATTTGTCAGGTAACTAAACACACAAACTCTCTTCGCCAAGACAGATTTAGAGAATGTATGAGCAATACAAGAAATGTCTTCTGCGCTTGAAGATAAGAGAGCAGCTGCGTAAGTGTCTGGAAACAGGGATAGAAGGCTTGCTCCTTTTTATGTCACTAATGCCCTGCTTTTACCTTTGTTAGTAAATCTCAACAAAGGATCCTTTGTCCCAGCCATCCGTCCATTCAAATTTCCTTTAGTTTCATTTGTATTGATTAGGACTTTTATGTTGACGCTAATCGAGTTGCGAAGGTAATGAAAGAGGGTGCGTAAAAACTTACTCCCCCTTCTTTTATTCCTCCCCTCCCCTCCCTCTTCATTCCTTACTCATACACAAGGGGTGGACAAATATCCATAGCCGATCCGCTTGTTTGTTCCTCATGCACTGATACACGAAAGAATTGTTTCCATGTGCTTGCTTACCTCTTCAAGGATGTGAATCAGTGTAGTTTGGTTGACAGTTACCGACGTTTCGCAGGAACCCGTTGCCTACGTCTGTAGGCTAAGCGAGTACTCTTCAGCTCTGAAATGAAGCTGTAATATTCCTCCGAAATTTCGATGTCAATCTACCAAGAGACGTTGCGTCACATCACTGAAAACAGTAACATTCATAGTCAGTTCCAGTGGAGGATGTATGCATAAGGATTTCTTTTATTGCGGCCACTTCTGGCCTATTGTACCAGCCCCAGATGATAGGTGAGGGTGATTGTGGAGCAATTGGTGGAATGAAGATTGGCAGGGGAAACCGAAGTACTCGGAGAAAACCTGCCCCAGCGCCACTTTGTCCACCATAAATCCCACTTGACCGAACCTGGGCCGCCGCGGTGGGAAGCCAGCGACTAACCGCTTGAGCTATGGCGCGGCCTATGCATAAGTAAGGTACATGTTTTTCAGATACGTTCTTTGCGGGCTTATGTACCCAATTAACCTTACTTCTCATTTATTGGAGCTCAACATTTATCACTACAGAACGCAGGCTGCTAAGCTAACTGCGTTACAGATACCACATCACATAATTTATACACCTACTCGTCACGCCGAAATACTAGATATGAAACGAAACAAAATTCAAATTTTTCCACAAATTTTAGTAAAGTTTCCCGACACCAAATTTTACCGAAATATTCCAATTTCGAAAATGAGATACGGGGGCAGATAGCCGCTGAAGACATGTGTTCGGGAGGCACTTATTTCGAATCTTGGCCGGGACATTTCCTCATGGAGCTGAGCCCTTCTTGAGAAGCCGCCAGTTGTGCAGCTACTGAAAAACTTCCTAGCATTTTATGGAACCCGAAGGTTCATTACCATGTTCACAAGAGCCATCCACTGGTCCCTATCCTTAGGCATACCAATCTAATCCATACCATCCCATCTCCAACATTCATTTCAATATTGTCCACCCACCTACGTCTTGGTCTTCCCACTGATCTCTTTCCTTCTGGCTTTCCCGCCAATATCTTATCTGCATTCCTCTTCTCCCCCATTCGTGCTACATGCCCTACCCATGTCATCCTCCTTGACTTCATCATTCTTATTGTACTCAATGACGAGTACAAGTTATGAAGCTCCTCATTATCAGTTTTCGCCCCCCTGAAACACTGACATCGTGGGTTCGAATCGCACTTGGGACATGGACGTTTGTCTGCATTTATTCTGTATGTGTTGTCCTGTATAGGTAGCGGCCTTACAACGGGGTGATTCTCCTTCCAAAAGATCCTGCCATCTGCCTGTAAGATCCATAATTTCATAACTAATTCCGAAAGGAAACAGCCAGACAGCCTAATCCGTCAAGGTAGAAGGAGAAGAATATTTGAATATTTATTAAATTAATCGAAGCAATAAAAATATTGGCGTAACTTACATCGAGAACTTCAAATTTCAACTAATTTTCAAATCAATTTCTTATGCGGTTTACATTCTGCTCTTGAACCGGAAGTTGGTGTCCCCTGTCAAGCAACGTCTCATCCTGCGGTGAAGGAGAGAATTAAACAGAAAGAGCTGCATCCCTTCCTTTTATTTACCTGCCCACTTAAAAGAATGGTACTGCCCTAGCCGTAGTCCCTGTCTCTTCTTTTAAGTTGAAAGCGAATATACACACCCTTAGAGGGAAAGGAAGAAAAAAGTCAACTCCAATTACTGTGGGACACCCTCGTTCATTATTCCACCCCATATAGTTCTCTCTTTCATCTTGACAAGTTACCCCTTTATATGTAACTTCTCAACTATCTCTCTTTCCCCCACTCCTCTCGGATTATTAAGACGGAAACCATTTTCCGTGGTCTAAACTCTCAATCGCTGTTAACGTCATGCTGTAAAGGAATATATATATGCAGTAAAACTTGGTTATAGCAACATCGGTTTCTGCGACACCTTGTCTATTGCGTCAAATATTCAATGGTACGAACTAATTCCTCATAAAGCAACTGTTTTTATACCTTGCTTAGTACGACATGCACAAATGCATCAACCTCGTATGTAACGTCATTTTCATTCCTGAATTTCTCTGATATGGACATTGAACGTAATTTAGAAAGTGTGTATTGGGAAAGTAACAGGAAACAGATGAAGATAACTGATTACTGTACTCGTATCTAGGTACAGTAAGGCACAACAATTGATGTAATCTACTGTAATTTGGTGAGCAGGCCTACCTTTAATATACAGTATTAGTGCGGTGTGTATTGTCAGTGAAAAGCGCTGTAATATGTCTTTGATATTACACATTTGGGCAATTCCACGTTAATGTTACGTTAGTCTGTACTTAACTACGTATTTCACTAAAAAATGCAACATTTTAACTCGGTTTTTGGTAGATTTTTACGTGACTAACATAAGGCTACTGTGGAAGTGCCCATTTCGGTTACAACGACATTCGTTTATAACGACACTATTTTTAGGTCCCTTTGATGACGTTATAACCAAGTTCTACTGTATATAGTGTTCTGATGTGTAACCCTCAAGGAAGCAGACTTCTGGGCGAGATATGTCACTTTATCCTTACTTCTTTATATGTATACTTAGTATTAGAAACTTTTGTTCTAAGCATTGAGTGTTGCATACTTATTAAGATTGATACCTGGTAAAAGTAAAGTTCTCCTTGTGCTTAACTAATTAAGCACTACGCAATGAAGAAGTGATGTATAGCTCCATATTTTCTTGATCTCGGCAGTAGCTTGAGGTGAGTGATCAGCTTCAAGCCCCGGCTGCTTTACCCCCGAGAAAGAGCCCCCGGTACCCATTGGATAGGAGGCTGGGTGGGCCCCAGAGCCGGTATGGAAGACGTGGAGAAGAAAAAATTCTTGACCCTACCGGGGACTCGAAATCCGACCCCTCTGTCTTCCCGACTACGGTATCCCGGCTCCTACTGACACCTGGTAGATTCTAATACTACTAGTGCTAACGATTTAATTTGTTCGTACAGTCCTGAAGGTGCAACTTCTTATCGTGCTCGTAAATTTTTTGTATTACGTTGTCGCTTCTTATGAATGATACTTCTACGTGTTTCGACCTTCTGTGGTCATCATTACACATATACTTTACGTAATTGTTGGACTGTATGTTCTTTGCTCTGAAAGTAGTTAAAACTAGTTCCAATTATTGTACACTATCTCAAAATCGTATCCTTTTTCCAGTTGATACCCCTTGGTTCTGGCATAGCTCTAGAAACCACGGAATACTAGAAACACGGTGTGATACCGTTGTACAACTTGACTGGCAGGTGTATATCTGAACAGGCCCTTTCGCACGGCATGCGATGGCATAGTTGGTAGAGGCACTATGCTACAAGTCGGGAGGTCGTTGGATTCTTGAATGTACCTAATCCTTCCAACCGCAATATGGCCCTGTGGTCGACTCAGCCTTTAACAGAAATGAATACCAGAAATCTTCCTGGGGGCTAAAGGGCGGCCGGCGGGTAAGTCTGCCAACATCAGCGCCATCTGTGAGCAGAATTTCTAGAAAATGTGGGAGCCTAGACGTCTCACAACCTTATGGACATCCACGGCGTTCTGCGAGTACAGGGATGTCTGTAATTTTTAACCCTTTAATACGAGATAATGGTTTTAGTTTAACTGACTTTTTAGATGCTCTGTCTTTAACTAGGAACAAAGTTTCTCATTTTATAATTTTCTTCAGAATCATCTATGTGACCACAAGGAGCTGTAGAGTTATATCTGACAAATTGCCTTAATAAAAATCTGCACTAAGACCTTACATGTCTTCTGTGGAAAGTGTGTCTCAGTGGCGAAAATTTTGTTTCAGGTGGTGAGGCGAGGGTACCGGGGGATGTGGAGCGCCGTGACGCCAACCCCGGACGGACCTGCCCCCTCGTCCCGCTCAAAGCATAGTGCCACCCTATTAGGGGGTCACGTCTATCTGCTAGGGGGTCGCAACGGGAACCTTCCCCTCAAAGATCTCTGGCGGTACAGCCTAGGTGAGCACTACTGTAGTTAGATTGGTGTGCCATGCCCCTTGCTTCTCTGTGCATTTTAGTTTTCGAGGTACATACGAGTACATAAGCTACCAGATTATGAAGCAGCACACGTGTGCCCTACTAACTTGTGCACCTCTTAGTCTGAGAGATTTTTCGTGGTTTCGTTCATCCTCTCAAGGCAAACACCGCTACAGAATTTCGATTAAGCTGAAACCGCTTCATTCTAAAGTCATTCGAGCTCATCATTCTACAGCCACCATACGGTTCGACGCTGTAAAATTTATGGTACAGCGTCTTTAAATAAGCTACAAACAAGAAGTTCCGAGAAGAACTGGTCACCTATTTTCCTTTGATACGACACGGGACACATAGAAAATGACACCTCCAACAATTCTTTGTTGCCGCTGGAATATCTTTACCGAATTGTTACCTAGTAAATGTAGGGGGTACACAGACCCAGAGACTCTCTTTGATACAACACGGAGCGCGTAGAAAGCGACACCAACAATTCTCCATCGCCGAGGGAACGTCTTTACCGAAGTGTTACCTAGCAACGATAGGGGGATACACAGACATACCCACAGACTATCCGTGGTTAAGACATGGGCCGCATGCAGAATGACGAGTCCAACAATTCTTCTAATGTAGCATGTATTTTTTGCTGCGGGAACATGTATACTGAGCCGTTGCCTAGTCCCGGATGGATGGATATACTTAACCTAATCGTTGCCCTGAAACGAAAGGAGAGATACACATACAGACACACAGACTTATGGGAGGGATTTACGAAGTACACCGACTGATATGGGTTCGGTTCCAAGTTTCATAAACACTGGTTCAGGCGTTCAAAAGTTGATAGAGAGGGTAGGGGGAATCATAGACACACAGGATGGAGATTGCATAAGCCTACATTAGGAAGTAAGTTAAAATATTTTCTTATGCAAATGTTGCCCTCTGAGAGAAAGTAGACATGACTTAATCGCGGGTTTTAAAAATGGAGCGCAAAGGACTTACAAGAAGTGATTCAAGGTGTCATTCCATTATCTGGTTGTCTAGTTAGTTAGTTAGTTAGTTAGGTAGTTCAGTTAGTCCAGATATGCAAGTGAATTTTCGTATATAGTTCAGAGTGTCGATTTGATTATACGTATAAAATAAGTCATTAAAACTAATCAAATGTTTTAAAAGAGGTTATAGTGGAACACTGATGAAGGCGAAAGAACACTAGACTTTATGAAATATGTCAACGGTATTTCAGAATACTCCAAACCGCGATTCAACGTTTTGCTCTCATTTCACTATAATCTACACTTCTCTCAGCTTGCTTTTAGCGTCAATAGTCCCCTTGTTGATAACTGGTCCTTTGATATTCTGAGTCGAGTGACTGCGAGTGACGCTGTGTCACCAGACTTCCTCCCAGGTTTCCTCACTCTTCAGTTTCCAGTAAGAGCAACGAGAGGTAGCCACTTCAGGGATTGATTTCTCTGTCACACGTGTTTTGTTTCGGAAATGCAAGCTGCTCAGAGATTTCTGCTCATAAACGGGGAGTGAGGGAAGCAGCGGTTAAAAAATTGAAGTCTCAAGTATCTTAACTTGCTTCTTGGTTATAATCTCTACTGAAGAGAAGTTCAGAAAAAGGAGTAACTTGAGATCAGCCCTTAACTTACTGGCATAATGGAGATGAGGCGGAAGAACATTTCGTGCTCTCCGTGGGAACACACAGTCCATAGGGGGAGATGAGAAACACGTGCAATATTTTTTTTGGAAACATGATTGAAAGGCCTCATAGGCCGCCGGGCCCTAAGCCATGATGTACTTCGTCTTTGTCTTAATCCACCCATGTACATGGGGTATAATATTAAAATGGATCTTCGTAAGAAATAGGCTGTGAGGATTTAGATTGAGTCTGGTTCGGAATGGGGACTAGTGACGAACATTTGTGAAGGTGTTAATGCACTGAGATTTGAGATTATAACAAGATTATACCTTTCTGAGATGTGACGTCGTGTAGTCTAGTAGATATTCAACTTTATTGTATAATTTTGCCTGTGGTTCTGTATGGGTGTGAAATTTGGTCTCTGACACTAAGGGAGGAACATGGACTGAGGGTGTTTGGGAACAGGGTGTTGAGGAGAATATTTGGACCGAAGAAGGATGAAGTGACAGGAGGTTGGAGAAAACTACATAATGAGGAGCTTCATATCTTATACTCTTCTCCAAGTATAATTAGAATGATCAAGTCTAGGAGGATAATATGGGGAGGGTATGTAGCAAGAATGAGAAGAGGAATTCATATAGGACATTGGTGGGAAAGCCAGAAGGAATGAGTCCACTAGGAAGACCAAGAAAAAGATGGGTGGACAATGCTCAAAATGGATATTAGAGAGATAGGATAGGGTGGTATGGACCGGATTGATTTGGTTCAGGATAGGGACCAGTGGAGGGCTCTTGTGAACACGGTAATGAATCTTCGGGTTCCAAAAAATGCTTTGAAGTTCTTGAATAGCTGCACAATTGGCAGCTTCTCAAGAAGGGCTCAGCTCCATGAGTGAGTGACCGCGAATCAGACTGAACGCATGAAGGTGATGGATCTTCGTGTTACGTAAAAGCCTGAGAATTTCGTGCCTAACTGAACTACTATTAGGCTAATGTCACACGAGCGCTGTCTCACGTACGTGAATATTGGCGCACGTCATGGAGGCATACAAATATATGAGAGAAGTCACACGGCACGGACGCGAAGAATGGCGTTGTCCGCGACACGGACGCGAAGAATGTAGCTCCGCGATCCCCCATGACGCAACGTGACCCGTCCGCGCTGAGATATGCATTTGTTTATGGTGGTTGTCACACGGGCGCGATAAATAGCGGACGGGAAGTTAGAATATCACGCTGTTTTGTTCAGGTCAGAATGGAAATAGAAATGGAGAAAATGATTTTATTAGGCAAAGTCAAAGTCACATTGCGACTGACGGTCAGTCAGTCAGTCAGTCTGTCTTGGTGTCGAGCCCCGACTGGGGCTCATGACCAGATTTCTTTCTTCTTTATATGAAAGTTACTGTCCTGTTCATTTGGGGCGCCCTCTGTGACGAGAGGTCGGGTCTGTCATTTGTCAGTCATAGTCTGTGTTAGTAAGTCCATTGTCAGCATTTGTACATATATTTACAAATTCAATCTTAATTCCTATTTCCCATTCCTATGCCATATTTCTAGTAGTATTCGCTACCACGGTAGTCTAGTCACTTGATCGGTAGTATGCCTGACCGCCGCCAAGTTTAAGCCTCTTATACTTTGTGTGTCGGGCTTCGCCTTGTCCGATGTTGCGAACATTCTCATTTTCATGATTTTGTATGACTTCTGCTTGTTTCCTGCATAATTTTGTTATATAGTCATAAACGTACGGGATTTTAAATGCCATGTGCAAATCGCGGACCGGTGTGCGCCTTGGGAAATTGCCAATGGTGCGGAGAACCTTGTTTTTATTAATTTATGGTCGACTTCTTATATAGACTCGGATCTGACCTACAGAAAAACATCGATTCCCTAGCAACCAGTAATGCTGAGTCATTCTCTAGCAACGGAGTGTTGACCAGAANACTCGTGTGGCAACCTGCTTCGCGTCCGCGGATTTCGACGGAAGAGCCGCGTCCGCTGTTTTCAGCGCTCGTGTGACATTAGCCTTAGCATCCCAAGAAATACTCAGAGTTAATCTGATTTTGTGTTGAGAAAGCCTGCTGAAGTTCATTCCATATCCTCTCTGAGAAAAGGACGTAGTCTACATGTGAGGTAACAGAGAAATATTAAACTCTCCAAATCGCGGTACTTCCGTACTGGATGATGAAATATATCTTCATAAAACTGACTGGAATGAGAAATGATGCTCTCTAAGTAAGACCGAATCCCTTTTACGAAATGTCGGCGGAACAGCGTATCCCATATTTCAAATCTGACACAGATACTCACCGACATATTCCCATATATCGATCTGGTCCTGCGGAATTGGATTCTCTCTTTGTTTCACCCTTCCTCATCCCCCTCCTTGCCTTTGACTGCCTCCTCTTTTCGTATTTTAGTGATATTTTGTCAGAGTCAGGAATTGAATCATGCTGAAAAAGAGACGTTGCAACACTTATGAATACCAGTTCCAGAGAAATGTGCCAAGCAAGCTGATGAAAGAAAAATAAAGTTGTCCCCGTGCTTAATTAACCACCAAGCCATGAAGACGCATAGAAGGTATAATTCCACCATTCTTGACCTTGGCTAGAGGTAAATATTCTGCTTCACCCGCAGGACAATTTTCTCTAGGACACGCATGTCCAACGCGTCGATCGCCGGACGATTTTTCGTCGATCTCATAGGCCTATAAGGAAATTATGCGTGAAAAGCATGTAAATTCACTTGTAATATAATATGATTATATTCAGATTTTGAAGGGAAAATACGTGTTAAAGTAGTCTGTACTTTTCAATGTATGTTGCTTTTACAACAAACATCATGTGTCGTGTTATTTTTACCAATATTTTTGCTTAAAGCGAGGTACGACGATAGGAGGGGGTGGCAGATCACAGGCAGTTTTGACACTAAAAAGTCGATCACAACCTGTTTGAAGTTGAACATGCCTGCTCTAGGAAGACTGGTTCCCCGAAGAGGCTGAGTGAGCCCCAGAGCCGGTCTCGACGCTGTGGAAAAGAGAAAAATACCTTTCCACTGCCGGAGAAAAAAAAACCGACCGTTCAGCTCGTAGCCCGTCACTATAGCGAATAAACTAACCCAGTTCTTTCAAAGGGTAATGGTTCCAAGTTACGTGTATATTCCTGAGATGCCCGTTTTGAATGTAGGTGAGAACAACGGAAATATTGTAAGATTTGAGGTTTTCACGGCGGTGACTATGATGAAAGCAGTCTTCTTGGATGTGGTGCCATGTACATATAGTGTTAACAGACGTATCGGAGGAATGTATCGCCTCCATCTTCAAGGTAGAAGACAAGAAGAAATCTGCGAGC